AGAGAGAGAGAGAGAGAGAGAGAGAGAGAGAGATTTCAGGCAGTGACTATTTCGGGTCGTGGAGCCAGGATCTGATTCGACATTTTTGAGGACAGACATTGGTTGGACATTTGACGGGGGAGAGTATTTCTTGGACGACTACGAGTTCTACTCTTGTCCTATTTCCCCTCTCCATCTCCGTCTCTCCTCCCCCTTCATCATCCGTGGTTTCTCCTCATGTGTGTGCGCAAGGAGGGATCTTTCTTCGGTGTGCGATCTCCCTTCTTGCTGTGTGATGTGTGTGATGAAGATTGTGTGAGTCGAGTCTGGATCTGATGTGTCAAATCGTATCTTTGAGTCATCCGCTGCGCTACATTGCATTATCTCGTTTTGTTTTGAGTGTCTTCATCACACTGGAGCTTCTTGGACATCTGCACCACTCATCTTCAGATGAGTATGCACCACTTTCGACGGTCTCCCGACTGACTGGCAAATGGTTTGGGGCACCTCGGTGAGACTAAGTGGCTACCCGACAAAAAAAAAAAAAAGAACCATTGCAAGGCGGGAAAGGGCCCATCGGTGAGCACTGCGACGCTTTTTGGTTCAGTATGCAGAACCTTTCCACGGCACCGGGGCGGTCGTCAGTTGCACACAGGAGATAGCTGGCGGGCTACTGGTGCTTTAAGCGCCTGGTGTCTTTTCAAACCGGTCCGTACTTTTGGGCAGTGTTTTTTTCCGAGCCTGCAAACGCCCTGCGCGCCAAAAAAGAACGAACCAGCATTACAGTCTGTTGACTCTGTTCCAATCCTGGGTGCATGTTAGGGTTCCTCCAGCTATGTTACCTCCTGCCATCCTGGCGCTTGAGGTTTGGGCGTGAGACTACAATTTTGGGCCTCGCCACACCACCACCACCACTCTCAAATTGTGAAAACGACAAAAATGTTGCTGGTGCATCTGGGCATGTTCTAGCGGGAAGTTCAGTTTCATTTCCCACCTTTTTCGAGAGTGGTGTCGTGATGCCCTTTGTGGAGTTTCTGTGAGTAGGTGACAGTCCTTTCCAATCCTTGCTGCATGCGGGGTCAGAGCAGGAATTACACATAAAGCATCGAACACTAGGTAAAGCATCGAACACTAGATAAAGAATCGAGCACTATGCTATCATCTACAAGTCTGGAGTCTGAGGCAGGATTCGGCTGAACTAATGCAAATCCTGCTGTTTGCGTCCCCAGTGTGCTCGCTCGTAGTCAGCAGCTATTGCAGGTCCGGTCTGCTTAAGTTGCCATGGTCGATCCACCCGTTTTCTTCATGTTCCGGGTAGTACTTGACCCGGTAGTTGACGCCTGGTCTTTCTCTTCGATGCTGCACCTTTCTTCCAGTGACAGTTCCGTTGATGTCCGCATGACCGTCAATGGTGGAAGGGATTCCTTTGCCAGTGCTGCTATGTTCCCTTGTTACCTATGTTGCGGGCTTGTTCCCTTGGTTCTCACAGTACCTCCCACCCTGGCACCCCGGTCAACTCCCTCAAGTTCTCTCCCACCTGCATTCCTTGCTACCTCTCACGTGCCTGCCTTGCTTCCCCGGGGGTTCCTTTGCCAGTGCTGCTATGTTCCCTTGTTACCTATGCTGCGGGCTTGTTGCCTTGGTGCTCACAGTCCCTCCCACGCTCCCACCTGTCTGCTTTGGTGCTGCTTGCCGGGCCTGCGCTGCCCTGTCACTCGCTTCGCCATTTGCCGCTCGACTCCCCCAAGTGCTCTCCCGCCTGCGTTCCTTGCTATCTCTCGCATGCCTGCCTTGCTTCCCCGAAGGTTCCTTTGCCAGTGCTGCTATGTTACCTTGTTACCTATGCTTCGGGCTTGTTGCCTTGGTGCTCACAGTACCTCCCACCCTCCCACCTGTCTGCTTTGCTGCTGCTACCCGGGCCTGCGCTGCTGTGGCATACTGCGTAGCCACATGGGCCCTGCAGGGCCCGTCCCGCACTTTCAGCCTAAAAGCCTAAGACTTAGGGCGTACAGGCCCCGGTCATTCAGCCTGAAAGCTGAAATACGAGGGCCTGCAGGCCCTATTCCGTTTCAGCCTATTTCTGGGCCTTTCAGGCCCAGAGGCTTTTTAGCCTGAAACGGAGGGCCATTTTCAGGCCCTCATTGTGTTCGACCTACCTAAGACTCAGGCACGGAAACAGGGTTTCGGAACAGGCCAGAAATACCCTGTTCCCCACGCCAGCTCGAGCAGGAGCTGCAGCTGCAGCCCCTGCCTCCCTGGGGCATTGGCAAGAGCAGCCTCCTGGACTGCTCGCCTGCAGTCAGGAGGCAGACCCGAGTAGTACATAGGATAGTCCCATGCACTTCACGGGTAGGTAGTTGGACAATAGGCACAAGTAGTCTTCAGGATTCAGCGCAGCACTCAGGAGGAGCGCTGCAGGGAGTAGCTTAGCGCTAGCCGTAGTCTTCAGCGCTGGGTGCTAGTAGCCATAGCAGTAGTCTTCAGCACTGGGCGCTAGTAGGTGGTAGATAGTAGAGTTGGGAGAGATGGCTGGCGGAGGCCAGTGAGACTTACCTGTGGCGCCATAGCTCCAGCTCCATCTTCAAGGTACCTGCATCAAGGCGCCAACTTCACAGGTTAGTACTGGACTGAGAGAGAGAGAGAGAGAGAGTTCTTCTTCCTCTTCTTCTAAGTCCACCATCTCTTCTTCCCCTCTCACCACCTGACTTCTCAGTATCAGCGGACTACTACAGAGAGAGAGTTGTGACTTGGGACTTGACGACATTGGATCCAG